ACCACTGCCACTGCCACTACCACTACCACTTCAACAACCCCACCACAACCACAACCACCACCACAACAACCACTACTGCTACTAGCACCACCAGTACTATTACCGGTACCACGATACATTCCCTGCCGTATTGGTTCAAAAATAAGCAATAGAAAAACACAAGATATTAATCGTCTTTTTTATTTATTTATTTATTTCCAGCGTCATTTTGCAGTCTTTGCTATTAGTTTCCCTGGCCTTGATGCCCTCAAGACTGTCTACCTCAGTATTCTAAACGGCTATATGAAGGTTCATGCATTCGCTGCTTCTGTTGCTAAAATCACCGATAAACTACTAGACGCTGCTCTTGCTCTCAATCAGAAGGTAGGATAAGCACATAATGATGACGGAATACTGGTATTCTAAAACAAATAATACAAAATCCTGTGTATTTTGCAGATTACAAGCACATTCCTGCCAACAGCCATCAAATTCCATTACATTTTCAACCTTCGAGATCTTTCCAACATATTCCAGGTAAGCTTGTTTCGGTAAAACCTTTTCAGAAGTGCACACTTGATCGGATCTTAAGATTTTAAGAAGCTAAATAAGTTGACTTTTGAAGGTGCAAAGAAGGGTTTAAAGATAATTGTTTTATTGTATCAAAAATAAGAAAGCGGTTTAGTAGAAAATATTTTAATTAATTAATTTATTTATTTGTTATTATTATTTTATTTTTTTGCAGGGTATTTTGTTTAGTACCCCAGAGTGCGTGAAGACCCCCATAGACCTCGTACGTCTGTGGATGCACGAATGTGATCGAGTATATAGGGACAAGTTCGTCGATGAGAAAGACATTGAAATGTACGATAAATTACAAATGGACATAACAAAAAAATTCTTTGAGGTACGTATTTGGAGATGTTATGTTCTGGGCCCGGTTGTGCGAAGGGTGGATAGCGCTATCCGACAAAAAATCTTATCCTGTGGATAAATTGAATGGATAACAGCACCGACCTCATGTATCCACTGGATAAAGATTTATTCGTTGGATAGCGCTATCCACCCTTCGCACAACGGGCACCTGGTCGTTACTAGCCATCCAAGCACAAAGCAGTGAATCGAGGGTAGCGTAGCTGAAGTGCACTTGCCTCTTGAGTCTCGGGTTTCATTCCTCAACTCGGCATTACGTGTGAGAACAGTTTAATCTGTTAGGTCTCAACCTTGATTCAAGGGTCTTTTTCCGAAATCTGCGCGGGTTCTCCTCCCTCCGCAAAATTGAAATACGATCTGTGAGCTATTACTGTCGAACTACTGTCCCACGCAACCATTCTCCTTGTCCTTCTTCTTCGCTACAGATAAAGTCAGCCAACCTTTATTCTCATCTAAGTATCTCAATTTCAATTTAATTGTCTCTTAACGCTGTGACCTTCTAATTTGCTTAGGACTTGGACGAAGAACAGATCGCTGCCAAGCCCAACCTGTACTGCCATTTCGCTTCGGGTATCGGTGACCCCAAGTATCTTCCAGTACCAGACTGGGATCACTTAAGTAAACTACTTGTTGAAGCACTGGACAATCACAACGAGGTTAATGCTGTCATGAACCTCGTGCTCTTTGAAGATGCCATGCAGCATGTGTAAGTTATTCATCATCTGGTCCGTTAAAATATCCATCTTGTGTATCACATCCTCGAATGACCATTAAAACTGTTTGTAAGTTATCACATTCAAAACTATTATCAACACCTCTCCTCCCCCATGAAAAAAAAACCCCGATGAAATCCTGGGAACTCCTTGAGTAAAAAAGAATAGAAATCCTGAAGATGGTTAAAAAAACTGATTTGCCACAAGTCACCCGGAAGGAGACGGTCCCAAATTAAATACATTGAGTGGCTTCGTAATTGAGTCAAACTATAAGGGTTTGATTGTATATAGTGATTGATGGATGACTGATTCATTGGTTGCTTATTTTCAGGTGTCGTATTAACCGTATCCTAGAGGCCCCACGTGGTAATGCTCTTCTCGTCGGTGTTGGTGGCAGCGGTAAACAGAGTTTAGCCAGACTGGCAGCATTTATCAGCTCACTTGATGTTTTCCAGATTACTCTCCGAAAGGGCTACAGTATTCCAGACATGAAGGTGTGTACTACCTTCCACTCTGTAGCACTTCTTTCACCGTACAACTATTGCGCGCACCACAAAAACTAAAAAAAACCCACAAAAATAAAAAAAAACCAAACAAACAACAACAACACAAAAATGCACCATGAGAAACACCGTTGTAACAGTTTTCTGCGCAGTAAACTTCACGTATAATCACGTTCACACCATTGCTTGCAGTGGCACGAGGATCAATAAGATATTATTTTATAGTCCTTAATTTTTTTCTTTATTATCGCAGAAAAAGTTGCTACCTGTGACATGTTGCTTGATGGATGTCTAATTTCAATTTTTACCTTATTTAATCGTAGGCCGATTTAGCAGCTCTGTGTATCAAAGCGGGATGGAAGAACATTGGTACCGTATTCTTACTAACAGACGCACAGATCCCTGAAGAGAACTTCTTGGTATTGATTAATGACTTACTAGCATCTGGTGAGATTCCTGGCTTGTTCCCCGACGATGAAGTAGAAAATATAATATCAGGCGTCAGGAATGAGGTCAAAGGTGCTGGATTACAAGACACAAGAGAAAATTGCTGGATGTTTTTTATTGAACGCGTCCGACGAAACCTTAAGGTATAAGCTCAAAAGCGTATAAGGATCACTTGCTTGGCATCTCGTACCCTAAACACTAGCCAGCTGATCTGAGAAAGAGTGTTAGGCAATCAGAATCGGAAAAAATGTCAAAACTGATGTTTCACTTTTCCTCTTAAAATTATAGATTTTCAGGCCACCACCAAATGAAAAAAGAGACGTTGCTAAAAAGCTTTTGATAACAGCGACGCAATAATCAATGAGTTTTATATTTTTATTGCAGTAGTGGGCATGTTTTTTTATTTTTCGCTGTTCAATTTTCGCAAGCTTTTTGTCACCTCAGTTTTGCAGTGACGTTATTTTGTACGTCACCATTTGAGATCAGCTAGAAGTGTGTGTGTGTGTGTGGGGGGGGGGGGGGGTGACACATAATGCATCGCGCATTGAGCTGGAGTATATGATATGTTGATATATGGATCTAATGCGATTGATTCTTCTTTTACTAGGTCGTTCTGTGTTTCTCTCCTGTTGGTTCAACCTTACGTGTTCGTAGTCGTAAGTTCCCTGCCGTTACTAACTGCACTGCTATTGATTGGTTCCACGAATGGCCTCAAGAGGCTTTGGTTTCTGTCAGCAAACGTTTCATTGAGGATTTGGATCAACTAGATGTAAGTTATCTAACCATCTTGGGGTCTTGGTCTGGTCCCACTATGTATTCTAATCTTAGATTCTAACCTTACTCTCCAATACCCCTCTAAGTCATTTGTGATGCCGTTCTACTCTTCGCTTATAGTAACTCCCTTGACTCAGCCCAAGTCTATACGTGCTTACATGCTGGTTCTTTATCCTTGTAGACTGAAATCAGACCATCTGTGGCAGACTTCATGTCTTTCGTCCATACTAGTGTCAACGAAGAGAGTAAGGCCTACCTCAGCAACGAAAGACGGTACAACTATACTACACCCAAGAGTTTCCTTGAACAGGTGCGCTCTGTTTTGCTATGACTATGTTAAAGCTATAGAGAGAAAGACTATCACATGTTAAGAGCTTGATAAGGTTTATACTCACGAGTTTCCATATCTTATCGCGAAGGAGCGAGTCCACTAATATGGTTTTTATTTATGACTTTTCCATACACTGATGTCGACCATAATGGAGAATAAATGCTGGATATGTAATAGTTACAATCAATATGCTAAACAGTCACCTTGCGCCAGTTCTTCTTTTCCCATGAGCGTCAACAACACGGTTGACCGCTAATAATTGTAGCTTTAAATTTTCTTGATAATATTTGCAATTGTGTTCTCTGAATGCGAGTCTGTAGCCTGTCCGCTTCGAGTTTCCCACCTCCTCGACGCATCCTGAATATTTGCTCAGGTTCAGAGGTTAGGGTAAGTTACTGAGTTAATGATCTTTCTAAACCCTGTAATTTTTACAGATCAACCTTTATCGTAACCTACTGAAGAAGAAGTCCAAAGAACTTGCACAGAAGACCGAACGTCTAGAGAACGGTTTACTTAAACTCCAAAGCACCGCACAACAAGTAGACGACTTGAAGGCAAAGCTTGCTTCCCAAGAAGTTGAACTGAAACAGAAGAACGAAGATGCGGACAAACTGATCGCCAAAGTTGGAGTTGAAACGGAAAAAGTCAGCAAAGAGAAGGCTTTTGCTGACGGTGAGGAAAAGAAAGTCCAGGTGTGTATAGTGCAAGTTATCTATTGTGTTCTAGTAGATATCAAATCCAGTAGAGAACAGGGTGGGGGGG